ATCAAATCATCATCTCTCGAAATGTCATTTTTCATGAACATATCTTTCCATTTCTTTCATCTCACTCACCTAGTCCCATTCACAATGATTTTTTTCATGATCGTGTCTTACCTCTTCCTCTCAACACACCTACACACTCATCGGTTTCTTTTGATTCACCTTTCAACCCACCGCATGACACTATCCAAATCCCACCACCTCGACCTCTGCGTCTCACACGACCACCTTTTTATCTGTCTGACTATCACTGTTACCATACAGATATAAATGCACTTTACCCCATTTCTTCCTTCCTTACTTATACAAAGTTTACCCCTCAATATCACAACTTTATTTTTGCTCTTTCCTCCCACACTGAGCCTACCACCTTCTTCGAGGCTGTCCAATATGACGTTTGGAGGACCGCTATGAATATGGAGCTACGTGCCTTGGAAAACAATAATGCTTGGTCTGTTGTATCTCTTCCACCTGGGAAGAAATCTATTGATTGTAAGTGAGTTTACAAAGTTAAATATCAAGCTTATGGGACCATAGAGCGATACAAAGCCCGTCTGGTTGCTAAAGGCTACACACAACAATTTGGTATTGATTTCATTGACACTTTCTCTCCAATTGCAAAATTAGTTACTGTAAAAATTTTGCTTTCACTAGCTGCTATTAATGGTTGGAGTCTGACTCAATTAGACGTCACTAATGCTTTTCTTCATGGTGACCTTCAAGAAGAAGTTTTTATGAATATTCCTCCAGGATATTCTCCTCGAAAGGGGGAGATTTTTCCACATCAACCTGTTTGCCGGCTACACAAGTCAATCTATGGGTTGAGACAGGCTTCCTGACAGTGGTTTCACAAGTTCTCACAAGCATTACTTCACGAAGGTTTCCATCAGTCACAATGTGACCACTCCTTGTTTGTCAAGCATCAGGGTAATATTTTTCTAGCATTGTTGGTGTATGTTGATAATATTGTCATCGCTTGTAACGATAATCATGCCATCAATGAACTCAAAGTTACACTCAAACAGAAATTTAAGATGAAAGATTTGGGAACTCTCTGATACTTTCTTGGACTTGAAATTGCAAGAAATGACACAGGAATCACCTTATGTCAGAGAAAATATGCTTTGGATCTATTAACTGAAACTAGGTACCTTGGTTATAAGCCCTCATCTACTCCCATGGAATCACATCAAAGGATATCCAAAGACGATGGAGAACCTCTGCGTGATATCACTAGTTATCGGCGACTGATTGGAAAATTGTTGTACTTGACCATCACTCGTCCTGATATATGTTATTCAGTCAATAAACTAAGTCAGTTCTTAACTGCTCCCAGGACCAGTCATCTTCAGGCTGCCTTGCGGATTCTTCAGTACATCAAGAGAACACCTAGACAGGGTCTCTTCCTTCCTTCATCATCTACCATCTAAATTAAGACTTTTTCTGATACTGATTGGGGCACATGTCTTGATATTAGAAGATCTCTAACTGGTTATTGTGTTTTTCTTGGACCTTCATTAGTCTCATGAAAATCAAATAAACAACAAGTTGTATCTCGGTCATCTGCAGAAGCCGAGTATCGTTCCATGGCCAATACTACATGTGAAATTATGTGGATTTTGAATTTGTTACGAGATTTAAAGGTACAACATCAAGATCCTGCATTGCTTTACTGTGATCATCAGGCAGCTCTACACATTGCTTCAAATCTAGTGTATTATGAGAGAACAAAACATATTGAACTCGACTGTCATTTTGTCCGAGAAAAAATTCAAGATGGTACCTTGAAGACAATGCATATATCCACTCGTAATCAACTTGCGGATTTAATGACAAAAGCACTTCATCCTACACAGTTTGACAATTTGCTGAACAAGATGAGTACAATAAATTTATATTCTCCATCTTGAGGGGGAGTATTAAGATTAATCATTAATTAGTTGATTTTAAACTTTTTAATTAGTTAGTTTGTTAATCATAACTGATTTTGTCTTTTTCCTTATGCTATTGTACAAGTTGTATAAAGTGAGTGTTGCCCAAATCATATCAAAAATATATATCAGAAAATTTTCTTCTTCTCCTCTATTCCTAACGATCAGAAAACGAGCTTGTAGATATATATATATATATATATATATATATATAAATTTAGAGTATAAATTATCCAACCATTCAAGAATTACAAACCTTTGTCATTCTTGTATATATATAGATAAGTTTGGATAAAAAACTTTAAAAAGCACATAAGGATTATAATCGAATAGTATCCTATGGAACCAGCTGCATGCTGACAAACAAATGATCTTTATAATATATTTGAGCTGAGTGTTTTAACTGAGGACAAACCATTAACGAGATTTTTTGAAATCCATTCTGTATTGGAATCCATTTCTGCTCAGTGTTGTTTTGTTTATTCTCACCTATTTCAATGTACGATTAATATAACTTCCCTGGGTTTAGGAATGTTTATCATTCAGTTTGTAATTTTGCTGAGATCGAAAGTTTATAATTGAGTTTGTACTTAAAAAATCAAATCCAGTTAGACTCAATGAATTGGATCATATTAAACAAAACAGTTTTCCTTTCTGTCTTCAGTTTGAAGTTGGAAAATTTGAAAATTTTCTTTCTACAATGTATATATTGAGAGTACAATATATATATACATTAAAATATATATTTTTTTCTTTCTACAATATATATATATATATATTAAGTACAACATAATATATATTAATTTTACTTTAAATAAAAGTCAGAACAATTCAATCTCCACCACCACATCCTCCACAACCTCCACAGCCTCCGCATGATCCTCCACAGCCTCCACAACCACCGCCTTCTCCACCATCTCCCGTACTTCCCGCACCTTCCACTTCGTTACTTTCGACACCACCAGCAGCTGTCGCCGACACTTCTATCTCGGCTTCAAGTCCACCTCCAACGAATATAACCAGTCCACCATCTCTAATACTGTCGCTTCTGCCAAGTTTTTTATTCTTCTCCCCTTCAACGTCGCCATTAATATTATTACTTGGTTGAGCTGCCGTAAAAGTACTCCTCCTTGCCTGATAATTACGTGTTAGCTTGTTTTTCCGATTGCCTGGCTTCGGCCAGAGGCAACATAATATTAAAACGGCAAGGGCGTACCCACCGAATGCTATGAGGATAATCGAATCTGTCTTCATCTTCACTGTTTTTTTTTTTTTTTTTGTGAAGCTGATTAGAGTCATCATTTATCTATGAATGTCAATGGATTGCGTAAATTGGAAGATGGCAATTATATATATATATATGTATGTTACAACTTGTTTTGGTATAGACTTGAGAGAAACAGCAAGGAAGTTCTGCTTCGTTGACTTTCTTCTTGTTTCCTCGTCTCTTCTCGTGAGATAAGCCCATTTCATTAATATTAGAAATTTTCTTTGAAAAATACAAAAACATCTACGAAAATCAACTTCATGTTTAATACTTTTCATCTTTTATAAGTGGTTATAGCTTGGAATTGTGCATTTTTTGTGCCCTTATTAGAAAGTGGTGTTATAATTTATAACTCTATTCATCATCTTATATGTATTTCTGTCTTAAAAATAATAATAATGATCAATGAAGTTATTATTATGATTAGTATTTATATACTATTTAATTAATAAAATATATATATATTTTTACTAAAAATAATAACAACAAAGTGATTTTAGAAGGTGCCACATTATGATGCAATTACAGAATTCTTTTAGTAGAAAGACATACAGTTCATTATTTAGATACACTTTGCACGCAATAATAACACACAAGACACTAACACAATTAGAAAAACACACATGAAGAATAAATATATAAGTCATTCAACCAACAAATGATTGGTCCAATAACACAATGTATTCAATGATAAATGAGGGGAAAATAGTAGACAAGCCGAGTCTCCAATCCACCACCATAACTAACTTGTTACAGCCTTCAGCATAACCAAAGATTTATTTATGGATGAACAAAAGGGTATTTAAGCCCAAAAAGAGAGAAAATTAAACTCATAGTCATTAGTACCTGTTCTTCCTTGCTACTCAAGTCTGGCTTCTACTAGTTCAATGTAAAATAATCAGATAACCCAAAAACATATATTCCTCATGGAAAAATTCAGCAGCGGATACCAAATTCTCATTGCCTACCTGGTGAATTAAACTTTCCTTTCTCAAAAACAAGAAACATTTAGGCACACAAATGTACAGACTGTACGTATCATGTATGTTTATAAGTGCATGTACGTACATTCATCGATTTATAAAATTAATATCTCCTTGATTTGTCAAACTAACAATTCAAGTCAGGAAATTTTCTTGGAAAAAAATAGCAACTTGAAGATTTAAGATATCAGACAAAAGATATAGCGCACTTACAAAGAGGACACTCAGATGAGTAAGGCTACAATCAAATCCTCAGCCAGCAATATAACCGCCACCAGCAAAGAGCGGGGCAGTAATTGGGCACAGGATCTGCCACATTGTTTCTTCACGGTCCTCTGCTTCACCCATAACTAGAAAAAACATATGGTGAGAAGGGAACATACCATCAAAATGGCATTGAGACCTTCACCTTAACCATTCCGATTCAATTGTCATTGAATAGTCTCTTTCCTGGAAGAGAATAATTAAACTTTTCCATCTAGGTCTATTTGGAGTAAAACGTTTATGTTGAGAAAAATTTTAAAAGATAGGTTAGCTTTAAACAATATTTTGTACTACCTGAGAGGAAAAAGAAGAGAAGACTAATAGAAAAATTCAATTTCTAATTTGTGTTTGTCCATATAAATTTTCAAATATATTAATATATATAGGTACTAACATAACTCTTAAAATTTCAAATCTATAAATCATAATTAACTATAATATATGAACTACTTAAAAAAAATTCAAAAAACACATATTAATTATTATATTTATAACTTAAATTAAACTTAATATACATGAATATTTTTGACATTTTATATAGAACTAAAACAAATCTCATTCCCCATCCAACCTCGAGCAACCATTTTTGAAACAGTCAAAAACCATACCGAGCTGCCATACATGTCTAAGAAGATGCTCACGCTCCCCACAAATTAATCCAGCATGAACCCGTATTCAATAAAGCTGCAATCGATTTCTTACCAATATTTACAGCTGCATATGTAAATTGGTTGGCTTATTACCTCATAAAAGAAACTTGAGATAAAAATTCAGACTACTTTCAGCATTTCCAATTTAATGAACTCCAGCCAATAAGCCACACCAACCAGGATTCCTCCTCTTATAGATTCTTAAACATATAGAAGACATCATCAATAAATCCAATTACACATATGCATCAAGAAGAATTCTTCCCACCTCAGGGTCATCTTCAAAAACCAAACTTAATCACATCGCAATACTATCACTAGGCAGAAATTACTTGGGTAAGTACGTTATAATGTGTCAGGGCCTCGGTTCATTAGAACGGAACCGGGGCCAGCTGATATTCATATTAGTTCACGCATTTCATCAAACAGATGTCGGGCACCACCAAGTTACCACTAATCATAGGATTGTTTGGAAGAAAAGAGCATACTCATGGAATCCAGCTTTGATATAGAATGAAGTGAATTGGGATGTGTCTTCTCTATCATAAAAACCTTATCAAATGATTTTGCGACGGTGAAACACTGTCATTATAGCCGAACCCTGTAGTTTCCTGCAACTTCGTGAAAAAGCTCAAGTGGGATTAGAGCATATAACACGGTGTTTTTCCACTTTTTTAAATAATATAACAAAATATTAATTAAAAGAGATTATTTTAATAATTAATATGAAATTAATTCTCAAAATTTAAAATTCTCTTTTAATTTGTTCTCCAATATTTTATTTATTTATTTAAAATATTAAATTTTGCTCTATTTCTACGTTCTTTTAACACAAGATTTTGAGTCTGGCAAATGAATATTTGACCATTAAGTTTTATAAATATATATATATATATATAGAGTTTTCCAGCATTTTTATTGATTGATCTAAATTGGACATCCAAATTACACCAATTTGAATTATCCAAAAATATTTTATATATTATTACTTTTCAATTCAATTCAATAAAAATCCAAAAAATGAATAGGATCCTAAGTAACCAGAATATAATTTAAAAAATTAAAATAATTAAATGATATTTAAATAATAACTTAAAAAATAATTATTTTTAAGTAATTAAATTATTAACTATTAGGTTTAATATTGGAGAGTGGCAATCTTGTAAATATACGAATTCCAGGATCATATACCTATGTCTCGTCCAGAAGCTCATTAAACGTGTGGTGTACCTTGGCTAATCCTTCTCTGCTCTGCTGCAAGAAGAAAAACTGAAGGAGAATCCAATCGTCCTTCAAAAATTTCAAGGATAATTGCCATGGCGGGTGTTGACATCTTGAAGCTATCACTTCTCTTCAACCTGCTTTCTGTCTCAAACTTTGGCAATCTGTGGCCTGAAACTAACCAGCGCCATGTAAGTGAATACCCACCTTCATGCACCCGCATAGAATGTCCTACCTACCAACTCATTCACGTCGGCAATGGCTTCGAGATTCGTCGCTATAACTCTACTGTCTGGATCTCAACTTCCCCAATTCAGGACATCTCTCTTGTTGAAGCCACCAGAACTGGATTCTTACAGTAACATCCTTCATCTTTTCTTTTTCCCATTTCCCTCCCTCAAGCTTGTGACTTTATGCGTTGTTGCAGGCTGTTTGATTACATTCAGGGGAAGAACAAGTACCAAGAGAAAATAGAGATGACAGCTCCAGTGATAACTCAAGTTGCACCCAGTGACGGACCCTTCTGTGAATCTTCTTTTGGTGTCAGCTTTTATGTCCCAAAACTAAACCAAGCAAACCCACCTCCTGCTAAGGGTCTCCATGTCCAGAGATGGAAACCTACATATGCTGCAGTGAGGCAATTCGGTGGCTTTGTCTCAGATTCTAATGTTGGAGAAGAAGCTGCTGCTTTGAAAGCTAGTCTTGAAGGCACTGAGTGGCTTAAAGCCATTGAGAAAAGCCGGGTAGATCATGCCGCCTATACAATAGCTCAGTATAATTCTCCCTTTGAGTTTGAAAATAGGGTGAATGAAATCTGGATGTTATTTGAGCTGGAAGATTAAATTGTCGTTTGAGAAGAAAAGGGTTTTGCCTGGTGAATAAATTGAGGCCTTTTCTTTGGTTATGTATACAAGTTCGTGCCACTAAATATATCCTGCTTGTAGTATTGAATAAAATATTACTCTTTCCTGTTGTTGTAGTTTTCCACATTTTCTTGCTTCTACAACAGACTATAAGTTCTTATTATTCCAGATAAAAAATTATTTGGATTTGGACACGTTGATTGAAAAAACCAACTTCATTAGCTTCAATTTGAGGTTTACATCGATAAGAATGACCCTCAGTTTGTTCAATGAACTAGAACTTAGAGAGTCTCTGAGAAATGAAGAACTTTACAAATTTGAGAAGTAATTTGAAGAGACAACAAGAATATTTCTTTTTTCCTGGTTTTCTTTTTTTCTTATATGATTCACACGCCCCAATCAACAAAGCATTGAAACAAAAATTTTGGGGCACCAAGTCAACCTGCCTAAGTAAAATCTACGAAATCAGTTGAAATCCTCCATGAACTATTGTATACAATGAGTGGATGAAGTCATCATCCGCTCATAAGGGTATTTCAGATTACTCCCATATTTTACATACATGCTGGAGTTACAATCAGAAGAGGATTCACTCAAAGAATCACTGACTTGTTTTACTCTGTCTCTTTTCTGCACTCGGTTTAGAGTGTGCCAGGACGAGTATGAATCAACGACATAACCCTTCTCCTCCGAAAAGAACCTAGTCTGTAGCCTACTATTTGCAAACATTCTACAAGCAACGGTATTATGAGAGGATGATTCCAGACCATATGGAGTGCTGAAGATTGAGAATGGATCCGCATCTGCATAATCCACTGTGCTGAAAGAGTCTCTAGTGCTCTCAGTTGTGAAAGATGCCTCATCTGAACTTGTAAATAGGGACCAATCACTCAATGTAGCATCAGAGAACTCCATGCTGGGTAGCTGAGCAGATGTTTCCATCGTTGGCAGGCTATTATTGTTTACACTCCTACAAATACCATTCATGGTATGATTGGCAAAATTGGTACCAATTTCCGGTCTGGGATCTGGCGAGGGCTGTGTGCCAACAAAATGATAGTCAGGTTTTCTTTCATCTGTTCTTGAAGGCTTGTGATCTTTTGATATGCTGTGCTTAGCCGGGGTTATAACTTGTTTCCTAATGGTTTTCACCATTTGCACTCTTTGAGGACGAGGACAAGACCTATGAGACATCAAACACTTGAAAATCTAAGTGGAGCATAATAGATGCAGGCTGCTAAAAACTGAACATATTAACAGACATACAAATTATCTTCACATATAAATGTAAAAGACAATTTAAAATGCAAAAGGAGGGAAAATGGAGAGGGCTAGAAGGGAAAAGTAGAAATCAATTATTTCAAGGTCTACCTCATGTAAAATAAGATATATGCTCCTTCTGACATCACCTGGCTCATTGGCACTGGACGAACCTGTGAGCAAGAAAAATCTTAAAAACCCCAACACAAAAAAGAATACTATGTAAACATTAGCACAATTGAAGCACAGGCTGTCCTATCAAATCCTAAAATCCACTTCACAAGCAATACTTTTCTTTTGAGATAAAAAGTCACTTCACAAGCAATATAAATAGCAGAAGCTGAACAGACATGAAAAATACAAGCATCATAAGATTTCTTTCTTCCAATTTTTTTTACAAAGCACGAGTTTTCTTGATTATGATCATGGAGAATGAAATTATGAAAGCCTGATCCTCCAGTAAATTATATCATTCAAAGATACTACATTCATATCAACCACCAAAATAGTACTGAAGATATAATGGTACTTCAAGAGTTATCAATGGCAGAAATGCTAACTGTCCAAATATGCTTGATAACAAGACATGAAGCAATCCAAGTTAAACATGGGTCTCAAATTAAAGATTAGTCTAATGAGTGTTACACATCAAAGTAATGCTAGTAGGTTCCATCAGCAGAGAAAATTTTGATGCGAAGTATTTTTCCAAATTACTATTAAATAAGGTTTCTTTATTAAGAGAACATATATATATTATATACAGAGACACGAAGGTAGTGTCACCCATGTACAACCTGAAACCCTTCTTTCTGTTCTTGAGGAAACAAAGATCCAACATTAAAGAAGGGAATCAGACAAAAAATCACTGATATCCCCAAAACCTTCTCCACTAAGTACTATTGAATAAGATTATAATGGATGCTATTTATATAAGGTGAATTTCTTCCCGGAAAGACTAAGGAAGATTTTGGATCGAACATTGTATATCTTTCTTAGAGGAAAGGAATGAAGGCACCTTCTGCCAAAAGAAACCCTCTATGGAGGAAACCTTTTCAACCAAAGCACCTAAGGGAGATGAGGTAATGTTACGTATTTCATTCCTGTAGAACACATCACCAGGCATATCCTCACACAACCACAGACATCACAACTCTTCATCTTTTGACACATCATCAAGGTTTCCACCAACCAACTAGAGCCTCACCTTCATTCTTTATGGATAACATATCAATCCTACAGTTTTAAACCTAATTTAGATGTTCCTATGACTTCACAAGGACAGGCAGTTCCCTTGGCTAACTCTCCATCTCAGCCCTTTCATTAGTCATATATCAGAATCCTCGGTCATTTCAGGAGGCCAACATTTGTAATCTCACATGTGGAGGCATGCTTTAATCCATTTTGTTCTTAATTTAACTAAATCTGCATAGCTAATACAGTGATCTGAAACCTAAAAGAAGAAAACGAGAGAGAGAGAGAGAGAGAGAGAGAGAGGCTTCATCTCTAATCTCTTAGATAAATACATGGAACTATTTAACACAAAAGAGCAAGTTAGATGAAAAATATTTTATCAATCTAAGTTTTTCAACAGTTACGGGCTTTCACAGTTTCTCCACATAATGAGCTCATCAAAAAAGTCACTAAGATATCACACACAGTGCATATGAACTTGAAATGAATAATCAAATAGGATTCTCTATGACATCCACATATAATAGCTGACAACTATTACAAATAAAATTGACAAATTACCTCAGTGTCATCTATCCTGAACCAATTGCCTTGCAAATCCTTTACATACGACACATAATGCCCCGAGAAAGATGCATTCAGCGTATCCAAATGCACCACAACAGCATAAAGCATGTAAAGAGGAGGAATATCACCTGATCTAGTCATAAACGGAATCATATCCAGCATATCCGGAAAGGTGATACATTTATTTATTTTACCATATCTTCCTTCCTGGAGAAACAAACAGCATAAAGCAAAAAAAAGAAAAAAAATCAAATTTAAGAAAATATCCAATATTAAGGCATTAAATGTTGAAAAAATGAAGTTATATGCTATAAGTTTAAGTATCGCATATATTTAAGATAAATAATATTTGTTGGTAAGGGAACTGAATCTCGAGTTGATAAACAAGCAAAAGCATAGACTGCTATCAACAACGCTGGCCTCTGTTCCATATTACCAGGAGACAGATTTATCACTAGATGGCTACAACTAGAACAACATGCAAATTTATGGAAGCAAATTTTTTACTGCTCAATCAGACCAACACTAGATTCTAGCTATTTCTGATCAGCCATTTTAGTAATGTAGAATAAGATTACGGCATATAGAAGGAAACCAGTATCATCACCACTACAAACTGATACCTGGAATCTCTTCAACACAATTGTCAGGATGTTTGGTGCCTCATGTATGCTCAACTGCTTTCTTGCTCGAACATAGGCAGCACACCTTTTTACAGAACCATAAAAGAGTCGGTGATTTCCACAAGTTTAAACCATAATCTTTTCAACTTGAATAAGAATGGGATACAATCTTTTGCCAAACCTTCCACATCTATACATGTTCTCTCCATCCAGATCTTCAGGAGTCGTAAATTGAGTCAGTGCATCCTCCAAGGACTCAACCCAGCCATATATCTCCAGTGTAAGATCCATGATGTTTTCATATCGTTCCGACTCATGAGAACACCTCAAGCATTTGACCTGATTCCATAGAAGTTGATTGATGCTTGGGATTATAAAAATAAAATAAAATAAGAAAAAATAGGAAGGTGTACTTTTGATTGAAGACGTCCACCAAAAGTATGTTGTATGAAAGTTGTCTCTTGCAATCTGGAATCAACCTTACTTTCTCCGCCTAATCCCTCCAAACATATGGATTGCATAGATGCAACCAAAAGCCTGGATAGAACCCAAAATATGTATATGTATGGAATCAAAATTTTGTTGGAAAACAATCAAGAATGTTCTAATTTTCCATTCAAATGCACTGACACAAATTTTCCCATTAAACTTTTTCATATGGTAGAAATAAGAGAAACAGTGAAGCATAGACAGAATGGGAAAAAATATAAAATAAAAACTGAGGAGAAAACTCAAATGCAAAATTTGAATGACCTTAAAAATTCATGAGCATCTTCTTGACTTCCATCACCAATATGGCAATTGATACTTCGCATATGTAAAAGGATTTTGCTAGGCGACAAGGGGCCCCCTGTTTCTCTTAACATCATTACATGTCGCTCGAGTTCACACATGAGGCACCAATCTTTTCCGCAACCTATAATGCATGTACCAGACAATAAAAGTCACACAAGGACGCAGAAAGCAAGTCACAACTTGAATACACAACTAACAATGAGGAGAGATAAGAAATGTGAGTACAGGCTCTTGAATGTGATCGTTGGAGCAAATAAATTATAAGAGGCTTTGTGCTGGTTAGACACTGCAACGCAGCATTAGCATAGCAGCTGCAGAACAAAAATTATAGTTAATAAACTAAAGTAACATGCAAGACACAAGTTTAAAGAGTATAAGCCCCTAAAACTTTACCTGTGACACTAAAAGAGAATGTCTGTTCATGCATCAGACTTTCTAAGAACAAATAATTAAATGAATATAGACTATGCTTGTTTTAGTTGGTACAAGAACACAAGATTCACATTGAAATTACTTACCATTCAATCTACAGCCATATTAACATACAGACATTGATTTCAGTTTTAGTTATTTTAGTCTCAGATCTTCATTTGTTTTTATTCAGAAGCCACATTTAAATTCATGGGGGAACACAAAGCAGAAATGCTGAGACTTTACCTGTTCCCACAGTTTACAAGTCCCCTAGGTGATAAGTTAAAGACTTCACACTGAAAGAACCTCACAAATTCCTCGTAAGGAAAAAGCATCTGAAAAAATAGAGCATAAAACTTTTGAACTTCCATATATAATTAAAGAACCCAATAAAAACTAATGGCCTACAGAGTAGATAAAGGAAATAAATCCATATACAGGTACTTGCGGAATGGAACTGACTTTAATTTTCTTGGGGCTATCATCATACTTTGCTGACCCATTCTGCATGGCAAGTTTTGTGGACTTTCTTAAACCCATCATCTTCATAATTCCCACGCTTGCAACCCCACTGTTTTCATGTGCTAGGATGGTATCCATTGTCCTTGTACCTTCTGCATTACAGAAACAGAATTAGATTTTTTTTCCAAAAGAAGAAAAAGAATTAGATTAACTAGAAGGAAAAGATAGATCAGGAGAAAAGATATGAGAGACCTACTTGATTCATCAGCAATTTCTCTTTTCCTTTCTTTTTCAACATACAAATGTTCTCCAGACACTTTCCCAGGTGATTTGGGCAACTTTGCATTTTTTATCCCCTGAGGATTTGTTAAACTCTTAGTTTTTACAACTCCTTTAGCTGCTGTTTTTTCCAAGCAACAGTTTGGTTTGACAGTTTCATTACTAAATGCACTCGCTGTTCTCGATAAATTTTCACCGTTCAGAAACTCTGTTTCAGTCTTGTAAAAATTTGCCCCAGTTGTTGGAGAATATGAAGAACTAGAAAATCCATTGTTGCTTCTTGGTTCTGGAAAGCTCCCATGTTGGCCTTGATGCTTGCTACTTTTTTCATTCTGCAGGGTACTTCTGGCTCTAGCTTGATCGCCGATATGCATGTGAGTTTGCTTTTTGAGAATTTCTTCAGAAACAACAGTGTCACTAGTGCTTGACTGCAGCAACAAGTTACAGTATTGATCAAATGCTATAAGATGATTATGCAGACTAGAGAAAAAATGTAGAGATAAGAACCTTTTGCCTTATAGAACCCGCATTTAATGAATGACTAAAGACTGTATTGATAGCGTCACTGCAAGATATTTCTTCAAATGAGCCCAACACAGCAGAATTCTCCTTTTTCAATGATTCTCTGCCCGACTTATGGGAACATCGCTTGTCCATAGACCTTCTCTCTGGCATGGATGGTTGAGAGGCATCACCCACATAGGAATCCATGCTAACAAAAGCAGCAGAGCTCATTGAAAGATGATTTATATTTTCCACAGGTACCTGCTCCATCATAGCTGGATTAATGTTGTAACCACATAACTGGGGGTTCATGCTCTCATCAGGCATAACGGAGTCATCAATTGAGGCAGCTTTCGGAGATGAGCATGAGCTTCCACTCTCCAATGGCTGGCATTCTCGCTTATGAGCTTGCCTCCAGTGAATTATTTGGCACTTCCCAGAGCTGCTTACACAAGAAAAACAAATAAATAAAAAAATAAATGGATTGGAAATTTGAGAAACTTAATCAGTTCATGTCATGCAGAGATCTTAGTTTTGAGTCTACATATATAGGCAACCCAGCGCATAAAGGTCCCACATTATAAAACCATGACTTTATGGTCAAAATGGAGCAACCTCACTGTTGCACCAAGAGTTCCTCCAAATACATTTCATGACCCAAAAGATAAGGCCAAAGATTTCGGAGAAAAATTTAAACTCTTCAGATACATAGCCTAACATCTTTACATTTTTTATCTTTCAAAGAAGCTCAAGTTTCAAATACGTTGGAACCATGGATTCCGTTTGTTCACTACCTGAGCTTATCTGGTGCTAGCCCCTAAGAACAACATTTTTAACATTAATACAGTCCTACAGTATTCATTACAGGCCAGAGTTTTTTATAGAACCTAATACACAAACTAGCATTGCAAATCCCAATAGTTGAAAAGTTCATAGAGATGAAGCAAAACACATTCGGGAGTGTTTCCTTATTGAAACTTTCCTTTCTATCTCAGCATTCACTTTTAAAAAGCATGACTAGCTTATATGTACCCACAGCGCCTTCTTCGAAAACTTTGGTGCAGAACAAAATATTTAATGAAATGAAAGATGAGAACTTGAAGCCAAATAGAATATACCAATATTTAACAGCCTTGCATCTGGAGCAGCGAGTTGTAGCTGGACTAAAACACCTAGCACACACATGAAGTCCATTTTTTGAAGGAGTGACAAGTGGGATAACACTTGCAGCAGCCATTGCCTCAGCTCTAAGAGCTTCCTCGGCAGCCAAATGAGCAAGCAAACTCACTCTCTCTCTTTTCTTTGCAGCCTCACTCCATATCCCAAGTAAGACGTAAGCAACCAGAGGAAGCACAACCAAAACCAGAAACAGGACAGGTATATCAGCTTCCCTTGGCTCAAGCATGTCCCCACCAACACATACATGTCCAGTTGCCGCAAAATCAGTACCCAAAAGATAGGCTCGTGAAGCTACATTACTCCATATAGTCCAAAATCTACTGTCAACATCTTGAGTTGCAAGTGTTCATAAAGCTCCGCCACTCAACCTGTCAAGTACTTGGATTCCCAGTAAAAATAAGACTGAAATTAATAAAAGTATCATTTCCTTTTCAATATTCAGTAAATAGATATACTTAATCCATTAGTAAAATATGGTTTTTCATAAACTCTATGATCATAAATTCTTGATTTGCATTATAGTATGCCAACAAAAATCTAATGAACCAAATTAGCAACAATGACAAAGGCCCCTTTGCAAAGAAAGAGAGGAGATATTCCCAAGTAAAATTTTCTAGAGAGATAAGGCTGTAAATCCTATTATTCTTATCAATAGTCGTTCAACAATGGTCTTACTTTGGAGACTAGCAGACAGTTAAGATATATTAAGTTTCAGAAGTGTGCCAACATTTGGTGAACCCTGGAAATCTTAAGTGGCTAGATTACGACTTTCCCAGAAGGGGTAAAAAAAGATAACAGGAGAAACAACATTAAAACAGCCCGCACCCCTATTACATTTGGATCTTCTATTACTTATTTAACTCTGAAACTAGGCTAAGTTTTGGGCCATTACAAGGTTCAGTGGAGTCTGGAACCGTTGACCACCTAGCATTATGACTTTCCCCAGAAGAAAAAAGAAAAAGAACAGGAGAAACAACATGAAAACAACCTGCAGCCCCATATCATCAGTCTGAAACTAGGTTGCCTTGGTGATACATTGTGCAAGTACCAACTGTCAATGAAATAGCTCAAGAGCAGTTCCAAACGAAAAGATTCAGATTTTAACTAGGGTGGTTATGTTCCTTACAAAAAAAAATTTATTTTTGATTCTACTAGAGAATCTAAGAAGGTTATTTCACCACTTCTCACCAAAACCCTCATAAAATCTTCTTCAAAATGAACTTCTGTAAACACGAACATCCATAAACACATTCTGAAATCTAGCATCCAAAATGAAGAGGACAATCCTGTAGGAAACTACTGCGAGAAGAATAAAAAGGTCTCCCATTTCAACACGCCACTGACAAAACAAGTTCTTCGGGAGGAGCCCATCTTGAAGATAGCCCTAATTTCACATTCCAAACACACGCCATCCTCCACTACTGAACTTAAAGGACCCCGCTGAATCCAGCATTCTTAACGTACAAAGCAACAGATTTGCAGCAAAATTAAATCCAAGGATAAATATTTCTCTAGGAGAAGAAGCTAATTATTCAATGTTGGACGCATGACAAGAAGCAAAACCCTATATGAAAACAAAGCAGGCTTCTTTTCTAATCTAAGCTTCAAGTAGGGAGAGGAAAAAGAAGATTTGAAAGCTGTAAAGCCAAATGAAGCACAAGTCGGGTTAATTTCAAATCTTACATACCTCTCATGAAGCAAAAGAAACAAGAAGAAAAAAATCCCAGCAAACACTTTCTCCTTTCTCCTTCCTCTCCCTCCTCTTCCTCTTCTTCTTCTTCTTCAAAAAGATTCTTTGATTCCTCAGATGGTAAGACAAACAGTTTCTCTCTGTGCGGTTTGTGCTTCACTTCACACTTTGCACTCTCTCTCCTTTTAAGAATATGGAAATTCTAATGTCTAACTTGCTCGCACAGAAAGTCAACAGAATATCCACGTGTAATAAAAGGATTGGTTCTAAACTGAAGAGAAAGTGGAGGCCAGGTTTGTAGTAACCTTGGGCTAAGGTGACGCGAGCGCGTGATTGGTTGTAGACCGTTGGATGTGTGGAAGCTTAGGGGGCGGAACTGTGATGGTCGTTTAGGACGTCATGTGGGAAGTGTGGTCAAAAAAAAATTGGTAAAGAGTTTTTCAACAGTGGGACCCAGTGGATGTTCTTCCCAATGATATTAATCAAGGGACACGTGTACGATGTGGATGCTTTTAGGAGGATAAATGTTGTGTTGGAGCTAAACACGAATATTTTTTGAACATATAATATATTATTACTAAAAATAAACACACACATATATATATATATATGGTGTAAGTAATAATAGTAATTGTTAAATCATTTTATAACTATAAAAGTAAGTATTGGAAAGAGAGGATTAAATTATTAATATGCTCCATTAATTACAGATTGTTTTCCAAGCTATGATTATTTATTCTTTATCATTATAATTCTAAAATTATTTTTCGACCAAAGAGAAATTAATAATTAAATTTTATTTTAGCGAAGTTATAACATATATATAATAATAGCAGACTATTTTGATGAATATATCGATTTTTTTTTTCTTTGTTGTAAACAATACTAATGAGATTTAACGAGAGACTTAAAAGAAAGTAATGATCTACATCTATATATGCGTATATAAATACATACATATGTAAATTATTAAGATTTTTTTTTTTTTTCAATAAGACATATGAATTTCGATAAGAATTAAATCAATTACTTTTTTAATATGAATTATATGTCTTGGATTAATCACACAAATTGTTTCATATTTTTGACTAAATTAAGTATAATTTATATAACTTAATCAAGAATTAAAAAAAAATTTATCTCCTAAGATCATTACAAAAAAATATATATATATTTTTTTCCATATGGTTGGATTTATATAAATAATTTCCTCCTGAACAGGCTTAGGTCCAACTTTCAAACACCGTTTACTCCAAAATTTCTTTGCAATTTTGAGTATTTTTTATTTTAAAAAAGTTATTCAATATAAAAATTATTTTTATAAACCGGAACTAAATTTAAAACCAAATTCGGACAGATTAAGACTTCTTAGATAAAATCTCCTTAGAATATAATTAAACATGGGAGTAGAAATTTAAGTAACTCTTGAGTCCATTAATATATAAATTTTTGAAGTTGTTTTTTTTTTTTAATGTCGGAAGACAGACAAAGCCGATTTTTAATCAGTTTTAACAAATTTAACTAAGATAATTTACATATAAAAACGTAATAAATTTGGTGGGACTAAATCTAACGTAATCATTGCAATTCTATCGATTTATTAATGAAATAAATTTTAATTCCACTAATCAAGCATTCCAGACCGCTCATTAATAATTTATAATACGTTTATAAAGTAACAAGACCAATGAAATTTAAACTCAGTAAATTTTAAATAAAACATAATATTTTTAATGGTTTAAAATACCATGTCCTTGGTAACTTTTCAAGTTGTTTAAAATACAGTCTGTCATCCAGCCAATATATTGGTTTTGGTTTTGGTAGGTAGCTAGGTTTAAATATCGCCTTTTCTTAGCACTAAAGATTTGCATTCATATTTATTATTCTAAATTTCTAATAACAATCTAATCTCCAAGAAATATTTTGTAGGTAATGTGTAGAAAGAGAAGGTGGGGAAAGACCCATCAAAAGTACATTTTCTTGTAACTTTCCCCCGTGATGTTCATGTAAGGTATATACATTTTGATAATTTCTGTTTTCTCCCTGGCCTTCTGTTTTATGATCAGTCATCATTTTCTATATATAACTTAGGGAAGATTATGCACCAACCCCCAACCAAGGTATAAAAAATAATAATAATTTCATTCTAATAATTTCTCTAATGTCATTTTTTCCTGATCATAACCCTCTTTTAACAGTTTCTAAACTATTTAATTCTCTTAGCGCATTCCCTCACTCTGCTGTATCCCCTTCAAACATGAAGGGTTTCTTTTATATCTTTTCAATTTGTTTATAAATTATTGAGAGAGGGTTAATGATCATAAGTAGTCTATAGAAACATTAAGAGAAAGTAGTCATTGATAGTTGGCTAAGCTTCTATATGGGTCTTCTTCTTCTTGAAAATTGAGACTATTCCTTTTGCTGCTCTGGTAATTTTGTTTCCTACAAAACCCAAATCAAAGCAATGAACCGCGATTGATAAATAACATTCTTAAATTTCAGAGCAGATGCATTTGCATACTGAGAAGGCTTGGTTCTTTCTAACATAAATAAGACAATTGAAATCATGTGCCATGAGGCAAGGATTCAATTTTATATGCCCTTCCACAAATTTATCCTCTGTAAACATGAAATAGAGGTCTACGTACTAGACAGTCACTTACTTGGACACCTTGAAAAGCCACATTCCATGATTACTACAAACCTAAAGAGCAGATTTGCCTTTTCTTCCACAAGAAAAGAAAATAAATTACCTTGAGGCAGAAGATTAATGAGCTTATGTTCAATTTAATTCCTGAAACTGAGCAGCTCTTGCCTTCAGCAAAGCACTTCGGGGCTTCTATGACTTCTTCATACACATCATTTCTATACTATCAGAAATATGTGCTAATAATGATATAGTAGCCTGCTTAATTATGGACATTGTTTATTTTCCTCAAGATCAGAACCTAAAATTTAAGTAAACCATCAACAAATCGGTTCAGCAATTTCCATATTCGTCACTTCTCCACATTTCTATATTCTTTCCCCTAATCACTTTTCCAATATGGACACCATGGATCACCTATAATCAATAATCCTCCCAACCTAAAGTGTAATTCAAGCATCATGGACCTTAACACCATATCAGCTTCGACTTCTGCCTCACCTGACAATCTCAGGTCCTTGGCAGCAGTTCCCTGCACTGGAGAATCCTCCTAGTTAATCTTTCATTTATCAAATAAGAGAAACCACACGCATATGAGAACTGAATTACAAAAGAATTCCAGTACTAGTTTACAAAGTAACAATTAGTCAAGTGATCAGAACTACTGCAAGAATCAACTTGGTTCTTCAATTCACTTTCACCCAAAAGAAAATTGAAGGTACTATTACCTAGAGATACCTTGCCACATACAGAGCTAGAATTGATTACAAAAGTCTAATTGGATGTCATTAAACTTCCAATGATCCCATCCCAATAAGATCGACAGTAAGAGAAGTAAAAGAAACACTATTAGATTCATTAGAAACATTGCAAGGCAACATTATTACAGAATGTTATGACGGCACGTAATTGGAAGAGCAGATAACCAAAAACAGAGCAAAATCCTGATCATCTATTAAAAAATAGTGAGTAGGACAAAACCTTCCCTGAAAGATAGTTCATACTATGATCTCCTGGATTAAGTATATTGTAACTACTTGATATAATCATGAAAAGTAAGCATGCCTTTCTATTTGTAGTGCTGAGAGACCTCCCAAGCAAGTTTATCCATGAACTGGCATTTCTTGTCAAATCCCCAACCAGGGTTACTCTGCATTGTAAAATTCATAAGATTAAACAAACCTTCCTGGAATAATATTTCAAATGAGCGTAACACACTGTTGGAAAAGCTTCACTTTGTTTGAATTTAAACTGAAGCTAAAAAAAAAACTGAAAAATGTTCAAGTCATACTAGCTTGGAAAAGAAAATAATCCAGTTATAACACTCTCTAACCTGAAGAGAAAGAACTGCACGATCTGCAAACCGCTTTACAGAAGCAGGTACACTCTCAGGAATTGTTTTTGCAACCCTTTCTAACTCCTGTTGTTGTTGTTTCGCAGTAACCCTATCTGGTCCACTGTAGTGATCAACAACCTCTTTCAGAAGGGGTACTCTCTCCATGACTTCATCAATGGCTTTCTGAAAATTTTGTGAAAGATAAAAAGGGCATTATACCTTTCCTTTTAAAGATAACCTGATTATGAACTAATAAAAAAAAGTAAACGTTTTAGGAAGTTTTACACTAAAAGGAATAGAAAACTTTATTCTTTCTATTTCTCTTTATTAGAAGACTTTCCAAAACCATTACTTCTACTGGAAAATGTCTCTTGTTCCTTTTAGGGTAAAACTTCCCTTTTCATATAAACTTTCCAAAATATTTATTTTCCTTTATTAATTCTGCATCATAACCACAGCCAGTTTTTCACAGATATTTTTTCATTACACCTAAAGCAAAGTGATCAAGTACAGATATACTCATATGGCTGCATGTAATAGCGCACTGCATCAATGGGAGTTTTAAGATGTAAACAGGTTTTGAACAATGGTTTCAGGAGTAAAAACACAACAAGTCACACAGCTTCAATGACACAGGACAGTAAAGAATTAGCAAACCATGTCAAGATTTGCTCGAAACAAATAATAGCCAAAAAAATAGTTAAACCTATTTCAGTAAGCTCTTCTGAACATCCACTTTTCTTTTCATTGTTTCCCTTTTGCATAACGATAGTTCTCAGTCTAAAAATAAGATGTTGCAATTATGCAGTTTGAAAGCAAGTCTATGACTATTTGAATGATCATTCAAATATCCAGATCTAGAAAATCAAACCATAAAAAGTTAAGTATCCAGATCATTTAGATAATACAAACAGAATAAAAATTTGTTCAGCGACAAAGAGTTAATGATACCTTCTTCTCAGAAACCCAGCAACACGGGTAGCATATTATTTATGTTATGTGAGAAATTCAGTTATTTTCATAAACAATGATGAGCTGGAACACAAAACATACGACTAGTTAATCATATCCAAACAGTAAAAGGGTATACCTCCCACTCTTCTTGACTTTGAATTCCTTCATATGCCATTAAGAATGGCTTCATCTTCTCAAGAGCATCCCGAAGTGGAATAGGTGGTCTCTCATCTATATCTGGATTTGTACCAAACTCCTCCATCAGATACTCTGGCTCAAACTCTATCTGCAACCCAGAAAAAGAAGGCCACTCAAAATGCACACACATGAAAGAGACCTCATATTCAGCAAAGTCAGGACTCAAATTTCACTTTGCATGAACACCTACTAATCAGTAATCTTTGCATGCTTATCTAAGAATCAAATTTGTAATGCTCATCTCGTTCTGCAAACTTCCTAAGATGGCCAAGAATAATCAAAACAACCACTAAAAACTCAATGGTATACAGATTAGTCTGATGTCTTGTGATTTATCTGTTTCAAATTAGTTCCATCAGTTGAAAATTGAGAAGAAGTGATTACTCTCATGTAGCATAACCCAATTCAAAAATTCTAGGACTGGAAGTTCCCAAGTCTCGGAAAACATAGAAAGACCTACCAAAAAGTTGGTATGCATTGCATCAAGATACACGTCCTCCAAAGGAGTAGGGAGGACCCTATCACTCATCTCCTCAAACCCTTCGGTCAATTTGTTCATGACCTCAGAACCAAACTTCTTCGCGAACTTCTCACCATCAGCATTAGAACCCAGAAATTGGCTCTCCGCTTCTTCTTCTTCTTCCAAATTCTCCTCCCTCGCTCTGTTGTCTCTGGTAAATCTACCTCTTCCTCTACCTCCCCTTCCTCCTCTTCCTCTCACACCCCTCCCTCTACCCCTAAATTCACCGCCACTAACACTGCCACTATCATTGTCACCGCGCGACAGGACGCTTACCGCCTTCTTCACTGCTTCCTCCCTGCTCAATTTGGGTACTGTCTGGCGTTCTTTGCCAGGCTCAGCTTCTTGTTTGACCCGCTCAACTCTCCGGATATGCCGGTTTTCGTGTTTCATTTGCGGAGTGGAGCTCGATTCCTTTATAGGTTTTCCCCTTCCAGCTCCGGGGAGTACCGAAAGAACACTTGAAGGTAAGCTAGGTTCACCCAACTGAGCCGACTCGGCGTCAAAATCGATATCCTGGCTCTTTACAAAAATAGGTTTTCGAGGCGGTGGTGGTGGTGCCGGCGGAAGACTCGCGGCAGGGTGGGTAGCGACACGGCCGCGTCCAGCCCCATGACCAGGTGGTCTGACGGACGGAAATGAAGAAAATGAAGAGAGAACAGGATCTGAGGGAAGCGGTTTGCCACGGCCACGACCGATTCCAGCAGGCAACGAGTCGATCAATTCGCTTTTCGACTCGTCCGAGTCGGCTGTTTTTCCTGGACTCCGAGAGAAATCGAACTTATCCGAGCCCGAAAAAGATCCTCCGCCGCTCCGACCACGTCCACGACCGGAACCGGAGGAGGTGGAAAAGGAAGAGGAGGATTGGATCAAAAAAGGATTCTGCTTGGCACCGATGGTAATGCTGTAATTGCTGAGGCTGGGTAATCTTCTTCCTATAGCTCCTCTCATTTGGGATTGGGCGACAAACGAGCTACTTCTGCTGGTTTGTATCAATTTTATCAGCTCGCAACTGAAACTTTGAAGGGTTTTAAGATCAGCGTGCGTGTCTGTGCATGATCCAAAATGCTGGGGGGTTTAAGTCACTCAACTGCGACCACGGCAAACGACGGCGCTTTAGGTATTGATCCGGTTCAAACCTGGTCGAACCGGATCAAGTTTTAAAATTAAATTAAACTAATTAAAATTTTAAGAAAAATACTAAATTGGCGTTTGTACTATTTCAAAAATATACTCAAATTAATTCTATTTTAATCTCTGCACTTGTAAAAATTTATATTTTTCTCTCTCTCTCTCTCTCACTAATATACACATTCATTAATAGAAGTGTTCGTCAGGATCCTACTTGAACATGTGCTCCACCAAAATCAGAATTTGAACAATTAATGTAGAGTTTTAAATAATTGTGGGTATTTTTAAGAAATTCAAAAGATGGAGGCAATTTTGAAATTAAAGAAATGGGGAGGACAGAATGGAAATTTTAGAAAAGTAAAAAGAAGATAGCTGAAAGAGAGAAGAGAGGGTGTCGGGGAGAGAGAAAAGAAGAGTTAGAGAGAGAGAGAGAGATAAAGTCGGGAAAGAGAGAAGAAGAGAGTTCGAGAGAGAGAATACAGAGTATTTTAGAGAGAGATACAGACTGTAGAGAGAGAAAAAAAAGAGAGAATTGAGAATTAAAAAAATAATTTATTTGAGATTCATTGATACAAACATATTACATGCTAATTTTGATTTACAACCTCTTATTTATAGATACGAACAGTACATAAATCATTGTTTCCAACAGTTAATCCTTGTTACGCACCAGAAGCTACCATTCGAATAAGCATTTTCATCCCGTCGATCGCATCGCATGAAGGAAAAGATGAATACTCAACTCTGTTGAAGAAACAGTTCCAAAGCTTGCACCCCTGCTTCCAACCATATATATCTACATATAATCTATATATATATACATATTATATATTTCTATATTTTTTTTCACTACAATTTCTAATAATTCCCTACCCTTGAAAATTAACCTTGCCCTCTGACTCGAGGTTAAGATAAAATTTTAAAATATTTGGCGTTGAATGATATTATTAATACTTATTATATTATATTATATATTTATTATATTATAGAAAAACTTTATGTGAAGCTGTCCCATTATTCTTCTGTTTGTTATCTAGAGATTGATCTTTTTTATTTTTTCTTTCTTCTTTCTCACATGTCTCCGTTGCTATGATTACTTTTTCATTACACCGAATGTTTTGGAGAATATTTTTCTCCACATCTGTAGCAAAAATTATTCCTCCTCAATTTTATATATTTAAATTCTTCAAAGATGTTGTTTCTTAAAAATAATGAATTTTAAAAAAAAAATTTCGGTGATGGAAACATTAGCTTTAGAAGAAGTTGTAGAGTGTTTTAGTTTATTGTATCGGTTAATGGCATCTACTGCTTGTTCTTGTCATAGAGCCAACTCAAATGCTTGAGTCAAGGTGTGTGGCATGTGCATCCTTATTATTAGTCAGAAGTTCATCCTTCAAACTACTTGTAAAATTGGAGGTGAAATATTTTTCAGAAAATTCAAGATTCTCTGTTAATAACAATGACCTCATTTCTTTTAAAAAAAATTTATACTAGAGGACGATATCTTCTTGAATTAATTTGTTGAATTCCTCCACAATATCAACTCCGAAAAATTTCCCAAACTTTCTATACAATTTCACCTTGAATTCTTCCTATTCAAACATATTTGGGTCATTTACTAACACATGGAACCATATTGTTGTCTTGTCTACGAGATATAATGAGATTATTTTCACTTCACTTTCATCTAAGACGTTAAAAATATAAAAATATTTGTTGTATCGTTTTATTTATATTCTAGAATTTTGTCCATCAAAAATAAGAATATCAATCTTTAGGACATGATTACTAGTTTGGTTGTCTCTCTGATACGAACTACCAACCCCAATTTTCTTGATTTTGGATTCGGTAATATTACTCTTTTAATACTTAAATTAGAAGTAGAGAGACTTATCCGGACAGTTGTTTCACTTATCCACATACGGTTTTACACAATTTTGGTGAGCCTTTCCAGTTGTTGACCCAACATAAACAGTCGTTGGTCCACTATAACTCGAGTTTGTTGTTGTAATTTATATATCTCGGATTTAAAATTCGATAATTTTTTATCAATATCACGTATATTTTTTTCCAAAGTTTGTATTTTTTGCTATTCAGACACTGTACCCTTACCTTTATTTTTTACCATGGTTATGAAGCTTGCAAGAGTTTTGTCAAAATCAAGATACTCTGATACCAAGTTGTTAAGATCTGGCTTGGATATGTGCTTCACTAGAATCAGAATTTGGAAAAAAAAAATGTGGAGTTTAAATAGTTATGGGTATTTTTAAAAAATTTAAAAATGGGAGCAATTTTGCAATTAAAGAAATGGGGAGGATAGAATGAGAATTTTAGAAAAGAAAAAAAAATAGTTGAAAAATAGGAAAAAGGGCGTCGGGGACAGAGAACCAAAGAGTTAGAGAGAGACGAAGTCAGAGAAGAGAGAACAATACTTTGAGAGAGAGAAGAGTTTTTAGACAGAAAAGAGAAAGACTATAGAGATGAGAAAGAGAGTCTTTTAAAGAGAGAGACTCGTTTTAGAGAGAGAATATACTATAGAGAGAGAAAAAAAAGAGATAATTGGGATAGAAAAAAGATAATTTATTTGAGATTCATTTATACAAATAGATTACATGCTAATTTTGATTTACAACCTCTTATTTATAAATATGAAACAGTACATGAATCATTATTTTTAATAGTCAATTGTTGCTATGCAGCAGAAACTGCTATTCGAAAGAGCCTTTTCATCCCGTTGGTCGCATTGCATGGAGGAAAAGATGAATAATCAGCTCTATCGAAGAAATAGTTCTAAAATGTGCACCCTTGCTTCCAACCATATATATCTATGTATATATTTATATTTTTTGCTACTGCAGTTTCTAACAATGTTATATAAACTTAAATTAAACATGTATGGTATTGTAGTCGGAGCATTATACATGTCAGATGTCACATGTAAGATATGTTAACATTAGACATTGTGCGTTTTAAAAATATAGGGATCTCATGAACGAATCTAGTTGAAGAAAAACAAATTGGTTTGAATTGATCTTTCTAAACCTAAACTCCTAAATTCATCACCACTACCATGGGCACTAACTTCTTTTTTTTTTCCTATTTTTTTCTCCCCTCAGTCTCTCTCATTTCTTCTTTCTTCTCTTCCTCATTATTCTCATTCACCTCAAAGTCAAAGCAAATAACAAATTAAATCCATCAAAGCCAATTAAATATATTAGCTTCCTTTTATTTTTTCCTAACTAAAAAAAACCAAAATGAAGGCAAGTTCGTAAAAAATCCAAATATCAACCATATATCCAAGTCAAACCAAACCAACTACAAGATGGAGATGTTGCAGATTTCGTTAACCAAAGCATTAAGGATAAAAATTGATAGGACTGGTGCCAATATGATGATATCGTTGTATGAGAGGGAATTGGAAAATGATTATAGAAAAGGAGATAATAAAATAATATATTTTCTCTAATGACTTAATGACATGTAAAATAAAATCTATCAAATTTGACATTATTCACGTATAAACTTTATATTAATAGACAATTTTGATTTTAAATATTTAATAATAAAGACTTAATAATTTACCACTTTACTTTATCGATACTCAAGTTATTAGTATCAACATTATACTCATGTCATTATCATATTATTATAACTAAATTAATCTGTATGAACTCTCAACTATAAAGTTAAGTAAAGTAATTAATTATATATCTCAATTGTTTGCATGATCATACTTGTTAGATTCATATTTCATATTCATTTACTAACGTGAACCTTAATATATTCTTATAAGATAAAGCTCGATCAAATACTTATCCAACATAAACATGTTCCTTACTTAATTGATTTGAAACCAAACTGTTATAAAGATCCACAACATCACATCAATCAACTCAATAATTAACCTCTAAGCCATGCTCGATATCAATATCAGTATTTAAATATTTTTAATGTTATCAATAATAAAATTAAATAAAATTACTTTAATAAAAAAAATTTTATATCATAATTAAAAGTTATAAACGGAGTATAAATAAAAAAATACTCAATTAAATTCAAAAAAGATATTATAAAAATAAAATCTAAAATTATTGATAAAAAGGAAAGAAATGATGCTTACGTACGAGATATTTTGATCTCTTTAAAAGTAAAGATACCTTTACTCTTAATTAAGAAAAAAGAGATTTTTAAAGTAAAAAATAATTTTTAAAATTAATATCAAATATATATTTTATTTAAAATAATTTGACAATGAGCTCCTAGAGTCTATTTATTTATTTATTTATTTTTAAATAAAAATTTTGGATTCCTCCTGAAACACGGGGTATATATAAAATTATTAAAAAAAATAAAAATAAAAATTAAATCTGTCAGCAGGGGCGCAGTACCCTCCAATTCCCGCATTTACAATTGTGTCTTCCAGTTGTTACAGATCTGTCTTTCTGTATATAATCACCATTTCTTCATTCTCGAACAAGAGAGCGCCATGAAAGAAGAGATACAGGGCTCGTCAGCTTCATCATCATCTAAAAGAAGCTACTGGAGATGGAGCAAGCGAGACTTCTTCCCAGAAAGTTCATTTCAGAGCTTGGCTTCCTACAAGGCTGCACTCTCCCAGACTTGTCCACGTCTCACCGACCGCCTGCTCGCTCGCTCTTCCGACTCTAACGAGCTCCTCACACTACGCAAGGAGAGCGAGAACCCAATGCAAAGATGCCTCACATGGTGGGACTTGATATGGCTCAGTTTCGGCTCTGTTGTCGGGTCGGGCATATTCGTCGTCACGGGTCAGGAGGCGCATTTCCACGCCGGTCCAGCAATTGTCCTCTCCTACGCTTTGTCAGGTCTGTCTGCTTTGCTCTCAGTCTTTTGTTATGCAGAATTTGGAGTTGAAATTCCGGTGGCTGGTGGTTCTTTTTCTTATCTTCGTGTGGAACTCGGCGACTTCGTTGCGTTTATTGCAGCGGGGAATATTCTCTTAGAGGCTATTGTTGGTGCTGCTGGATTAGGTCGAGCTTGGTCTTCCTATTTGGCTACTATGATTAAGAACAATTCTGATTTTTTCAGATTTAAGGTAAATTCTTTTGCTGAAGGGTTTAATTTTTTGGACCCGGTTGCAGTTTTGGTGCTTTTAGTTGCTAATGGTATAGCAATGAGTGGCACAAGGAGGACTTCTTGGTTGAATTGGATAAGTTCTTTGGTTACTGCTGGTGTGATTGTGTTTGTCATAGTTGTGGGATTTATTCATGCTAAGAGTTCTAATTTGGTGCCTTTTCTCCCTCACGGGGTAGAGGGTGTTTTCCAATCTGCTGCAATTGTTTACTGGTCTTATACAGGTTTTGATATGGTGGCAAATATGGCCGAAGAAACTAAAAAGCCTTCAAGGGATATACCAATTGGATTAGTTGGTTCAATGTCTATGATCAGTGTAATTTATTGCTTGATGGCTTTGGCGCTGGTCATGATGGTGAAGTATACTGAAATTGATGTAAATGCTGCATATGCTGTTGCTTTTGGACAAATTGGCATGAAATGGGCAAAGTATTTGGTGAGTATATGTGCACTTAAGGGAATGACCACAAGCTTGCTGGTTGGATCACTTGGACAAGCTAGATATACAACTCAGATTGCTAGAGCTCATATGATTCCTCCCTGGTTTGCTTTGGTTCACCCTAAAACTGGAACCCCTATTTATGCTACTCTGTTGGTAACCATACTTAGTGCCATAATTGCATTTTTCTCAAGTCTGGATGTTTTGTCAAGTGTTTTTTCTTTCACCACACTGTTCATTTTTATGCTTATGGCTGTTGCATTGCTTTTAAGGCGATATTGTGTGAAGGATGTTTCTCCAGGGAATGATTTTGTTAAGTTTCTTGTTTGTCTGTCTGTGATAATTGGTTCTTCAATTGGAGTTACAGCGTTGTGGAAATCGAATGTGAGAGGATGGATTGGGTACATGGTGTCTGGGTTGCTTTGGTTTCTGGGGACTTTGGGGATGGCATTGCTTCCAAAGCAGCGTGTTCCAAAGGTTTGGGGCGTTCCTCTAGTTCCTTGGTTGCCAGCATTGTCAATCGGGATGAACCTATTTCTTCTAGGATCACTGGGTTTTGTTGCCTTTTTAAGGTTTATCATTTGCACATCCGCAATGCTTGTGTACTATCTGTTTGTTGGTCTTCATGCTACTTATGATGTGGCTCATCAGACTCCAGAAGAATTGAAGATTGAAGATGGCAAATGAAAAAGAAAGTCAAGGAATGCTCAGTTGATAACCAAGAGTCATTCACCCATTGATTCATATGCTACTTATCTTCGTATCGGTAGATGGGGTTAATGTCTGAGTTCTAATCCTCCAGTTACCCAATTACGTAGGACATTTGTTCCTCGCAAACAGCTATTTCTTTGTATGTTAGTTTGGTCTTGGTCAATACATTTGTGGTATTGTTGTTGATGCTGCTTAGAAAATGGGATGTTTGCGATTCAATCAAGAAATGATTTTCCAGTGAGAGCTGGAATTCCTTTCACTTCTCCTGTAATGGTGCTCATCATATTTAGGTTATGCTTCCTAGCACCTCGTTCAAAATATGTATATTATATACACTTGATAGATCCAGTGAAACAAATGTATTTGTATTACCACTGATATGAAGAAGGATATTCTGTTGATTTTGGCATACTCTGGCCATAACAAACCCCCGTTACTGCCCATTAACATCAATATATATATATATATATATATATATATTAGTTTTTCTGGAATCACTCGCTCCATCGAGGCCGAGGATTGATTGTAAACTAAACACCGAATAGCTATTGCGTTTCTACTTTATGCTGTTCAGCGAACTATATGCACTATCAATTTTTTCTAAACAAAATGGGTTAGTATTTAAACTTCAAAAATAAGCCCTACTAAAAAACTTTACCATTTAGGATATGGGCCCTCGATATTTTCCTAATAAATAAAAACAACAGGTTATCATCCAACGGCAAAAACAAATTCTCTGCAGCCCCTAGTCAAAAGACAAGAATTCGCCCTCAAAAGACTATAGAATCCTCAATATGAGAACAATTGTACGGTCATAAAAACCCTAGCTTGCATCAGGGTAAGTTTTACTTCATTCTTAGATAACTTCTATTATTGATTCTTATATTTGTCTATACGTTAAAATTTTGGTATCACAGTTTCTATTTTAAGCTATTTCTGAGTTTGTACCTCTTTTTTGGAAGTGGAATATGCAATTTTTGCTTCTAAAAGATCACATCTAGATACTTATTTATAGTAAGAGTAGAAATGAAAATCTAGTGAAAGAATTGCCATGAGATAGAATGAGAAGTGATATTGGTAAACCCATTTGCCTGACAAACACAAGAAATTTAACCGCACCATAGGCAGTGTACTCAAAGTGTTCAATCAAATGTCCCTCAACTCTGTGATCAGTTCCTGCTCTGGTAAAACCTGCAGGTATGTTTTCCATATCCTGGGCGTCTGATGCATTAGTAAGCAGAGTTCTTTCAAGTTCTCATGCCAATATGGATTGTAATTTAAGCATTGTGTTGATTTAATAGTGAATCACCAAGTAATTTGATTAAAAAAGGATTCTGGACTCATTTGGCATATAGATCAGGTAAGAGAGAATAAACATCCCATGGTTTGAGTCATGAAGGTCTTGAATTCTTATTCAGTTATTACCTTGGGGTATCACTTTTTAGGCCTAGTAACAAATAAGTACTTGAAATAGAGATAGACTTGGACTGGACTTGAGCATATTCGGTTTGTTGAACAGTTTATTGCACGAATGCTTAAGCATCACCTAACATACATCAAATGAGAAGGGATCTTGCTTTTAGATTATCTCATGCAGCTCTTCATTGTCGATAAGTACGTGTCGAATCTGAGCAATCTTGTACCAGTCTTTCCCCTTCTTTTGAATTGCAGCTTTCAGTAACGAACAATCATTTACACACAGAAATGACAATGATGAAGGAAGGCCCTCATTTGGTAAACCAATAAGCTGGTTGCAGCTGCTTATTTCTAATGTTTCAAGACTTTTTAGATGTTTAAGCCCTTTGTAATGCAGGACCTTGAGCTTTAAGAATTTACTGATACGTAGAGAGTAAAGATTTCTAGGCAGCAGCTTCTCCTCTGGAAATGATTCCACTTTAATATACTCACCTTCAAGTTCTAAACAGTGAAGGTTCTCAAGATTTTGTAACCCCCAGGCCAGCTCCTGTGTAAGCTTGTAACAGTTGATGATGCAAAGTGTGCTTATGTCGGAAGGTAAACCTCCATCTGGAACAGCAAGAATTTCTGGGCATCCATTTATGACAAGGGATTGAAGAGAAGAGAGCTTGTTAAACTGCTTAGGAAGTGCTTTGAGATTGTTGCAATTGAAAATCAAAACTGTCCTCAGTTTTGGGGCTGCCAATCCACCTTCAGGGAAAGATTCCAGCATCGGGCAACACCTGATCTCCAGGACTTCGAGTGAAATGTGATCCTTGTCATGTCCCACTGGAATATCAATGCCACTGAAGTTTTCACAATCCCAGATAGAAAGACTTTTAAGCTTCCAAAAGAAGCCTAAAGGGAAGGACCTAAGTGTATCACAGCTACTCCCTAGACACAAATATTCAAGATTTGAATCTTGGTGAATTGTCACTAAAGATTGGACAAATTCCAACTTCCTACAGTCACGAATGTATAGAGTTTTCAGGGTGGGTGGATGTCTTCGAGGAAACACCTTGAGATTGCTGCAGTTGATGATAAATAATTCTTGGAGACGAGGATTTCTGTCCATCAATTCCTCGGGCAGATACTTTAGGGCATCACATCCTTCAATTTTTAGGCTAAACAGGCCTGCTTGCAATTCAAATAATTGGGAAACTTCTGAAACCTTCACTCTCTTAAATGGAGAGATATCTTGGGCAGTTTCTTCGTCTCTCTCAAATGTAGAGATGTCTTGCAGACTTCCAGATCTGGAGCTCGAAAGCTTTATTCTCTCAAATGCAGAGATATCTTGCAAACTAGATCTGATGCTTGTAATTTCTTTTTCATGCCTCAATCCTTGCGGTGACACTTCATCTTCTGCTTTAAAATGGAACTTGGCATCATCATGTATCTGCAGTGCCCCCATCACGGAAAGTTTTGGCAGTTGATCCAAAATAACATCATCTCTTATGGGATGCTCTCTCTTGTCATAATGAGACTGTGAAGTTTTCCATGTCTTAACCTCATCACTGCTGATGGATATTTGGGTACTTTCATGTAACTGCAGTTCTTCATCTACAGACAGTGGGTCTTCAAACTTGTTGCCAAGTTCTTGTTTCTCCCTTTCACTTATATCTGATGGTAATCTTGGAACCATAGCATTAAGTTGCTGACAATCAAAAACGTTGACTCTAGCTAAAGGAGGAAGGTCCTTTGGCAAGTCTCTTACCAGCCTGGGGCATCTCTTTATTGAGAGTTCTCGCAGGCAGGGGAATGGTCCACCTCGCACTTCAGGAGAAACCCATTCTTCCCACGTTAACATGCTGTCAAACTTTAAAGTCTGCAGAGACCGAAATGGCTTTATTAGAGGAATCTTTATCCCATAAAACTCAGGGCCAACTCTCTGCACTCTATCTAATCTTTCGATAATGAGATCTTTAAGAGATGGTAACTCTCCCAGTGGTGGCAAGGACAAGCAGAAACTACAATTGCTGAGACAGAGGAAAACCATATTTGAAAAGGAAGAGTCACCTAGCCAGTCTGGAAATCTTGTACCCCCATAAAATCTTATGCTCAAGCTTTTCAAATTTGGATGAGGCTCTAGCATCTCAAGCACCTCCCCTTGGTCGCATGTAAATGATTGAATACCACTAAATGTATGATCTCTATCCCTCCATTTTAAGACTAGCCCTTCAAGATACTCTTTTCTTTTTAAACTGGCATCCTTTGCTTCTCTTGCAAGGACCACATTCTGCAGCTCTGAAATACGAAGTGTTCTGTGAAGATACAGAAGCTCTTTTAGCTCTTCAATCCCAGCACCACTCAGCCTTCCTACAACAAAATTAGACAACATCTGTAAACTTCTCAGTCTACTCATTCCTACGGGCATCTCCTTCAATGAAGTTCCAACAAGATCAAGATAGTGCAAGTTGATGAGCTTCCCCATGTTTGTTGGCAACTCTGTAAGAGAACCACAGTTTGACAGCAGTAGTGTCTGTAGATTATGAAGGGAACAAAATGAATCAGGCAACTTTTTAATTGCAGTGTTCGAGACATCCAGGTAGCGCAAGTGTTTTAAAATACCAATTGATTCAGACAGCTTATTAAGATTGTAATGAGACAGACAAAGCACTCGTAAGCTTTGCAGGGTTAATAACAGACCCCGCAAGACTTTACTGGTTAATTGAGAATTCTCGAGATCATTTGGCAGTTCATAAGGAAGAATAGTTCTCAAATACTTAGCCTCATGTATGGACTCAGAAATCTTTTCAGCATCGCAGTCACTTCTGGAAAATGACAGATGCCTCGTGATGCCAGGGATTTGAGAAGTTTCATCATCTTCCAACCTGAAGCAAAATTGACCAGCTACTGATTTTGCTAGATCATTCATGAGATCATGCATCACAAAACATGACTTATTGTTACTAGATTGCAGGAAAAAGGACCTAGACTGTAAGTAATGAAAGTATTCATTGCCAATATCTTCAAATCTTTTATTGCCCTTGGTTTGCTGTAGAAGATCTTCTGCCATCCATAAGAGGACTAACTTTTCAATCTCAAACTCGTAGCCCTTAGGAAATATAGAACAATAAGCAAAGCACCGCTTTAGGTGAGAAGGAAGGAAATCATAGCTCAGCTTCAAAATTGGAAGGATCTCACTAATGTGACATGGAAAATTCTTCAATACAGCATGCCATTCTTCAACAAGTGGCTTAGAACGGAGGTGAAGTGCAACTACTTTTGCTGCTAAAGGCAAGCCTTGACATCTTTTCACAATTTTTCTTCCAATTGCTTCCATTTCTAGATAGGAACTAGGTCCCCTGCTTTCGAATGCAAATTTGGAGAACACCTCCCAGCAATCCTCCTCAGCTAACAACTTCAGTTCATATCTTTTGACAGTCTGCTCCATGATTGATGCTACAACACAGCTGCGAGTAGTAATAACAGTCTTGCTTCCCCTTGCTCCAGCCTCGAGAGGAGCCCAGAAACTTTTCCAGTCAGAAGATTTCTCAGACCAAACATCGTCCAAAATGAGTAAAAATTTCTTCTCTGCAAGATTTATCTTTAATTCAACTTGTAGCGAACGCTGGTCCTCCATTTCAGAAGCCGGGGATTTGAGTTCCCGAAGAACAGCTTTCATCAAGCTGGAAATGTCAAAGTTTTCACCAATAGTTACCCAGATTTTGAGCTCAAAGTTCTCATTGATCATGTCATCATTGTAAAGAAGGTGAGCCAGGGCAGTTTTACCAGCTCCAGCCATACCAACTATTGGAATTACACAGCAACCTTTTCCAGCTATAACATCATCAGACAGCAAAAGATTAAGAAGAGTCTGCTTATCTTCATCTCGGCCGAAGATTCTGGTATGATCAGCAAGAGCAGGACTTACTTGTGGCCTGTGAAAAGATCTTCTATTGCTATATTCTCTTAGTCCAATTGGGTCAATATGCTTGATTAGACCTTCCAATCTTTGGACGATGGTCTTTATCTTGTACTCTATGGTTTTGTTGAGTGAAGTGGGACTGGCGAGGAGCTTCCAACTCCGCACCCGAGTCATAATACCTCCCTCTTCTGCTTCCAGTTTGCGTTGTAGAGCTTCAGTGTAGATCTCATCGAGTACATCCTCTGCCTGGTAGAAAGCATCTTTAAGGTCATTGAGCCAGTGCTTGACTGCTGTATCCAGATCTTCCTTGTGCTCAGCATCATTGAGCACAGGTTTAATAGTCAACAGAGGTTTCTTCAATCTTTTCAACAAGGCACTAAGCTTTGGTCCTTTGAATACCTCCAAGAGTTCACCACAAGCATTAATCCTCTCAAGCATCACTTCAAAGGAAGTGAACAGGAAGGCGTCGTCCATGTTTCCTGTCTTCATTTGTGAACCAGAGAGTTCAGCTGAGGCAACAAGAAACTGAGACAACTTCGCCCGGTGTGTCATTGACTTATTGTTTCTGCAATAACCTCGTATTATCTCTTTAGCTTTTTCTCTTTTCCAGTTTAATACTCTGATTTAACCTGAATTATTGGAGTTTATGGACTTTTGAGTGCATATAGAAATCAGGCTTTCTAGCTGGCATCTGCAGGCTTCATAAATAATTAACATAAAATGATATGTCTCTTTCAGAAGCACCATTTTATTACTCTGAAATTCCTATTAAAAAAAGGTTGATTACTTGTGCTACTTTGTTTACTAGTTGCATATTCATTAAATAGTATTCCAATGGCGGCTTACAATGACCTGATAGGTATTGATAGCTTGACGTTTTTGGTACATGTATTGGCTATGGTTGTATCTTCTTTACCAAATCCCTCCAAAAATTCCCTATTCAGGATTTGGGGCCTAACTACATATTAGAAAATATGACCATGAAAACTTAGGTTCCCACAAAAGATAATCCGGCTCGACCTGATGTAGTTAGTCTAATAACAATGACAACCTAAGTCTCAAAGAGAACTATACACTAAAAAACACGAGAATAGCAACCAAGGTTCTTACAAGAAAATAACATATAAATTAATAACAAAAGAACATGTAAGATATCAACCAACAGTTCATCATCTGTTTTTATTCTAACTGACATGTTAGAATATGCTGATTTTTTTAAGGTTAATGGGTACTTAAGCTATCTAGTTCAGTTAACTCTATTCTGATTCTTTACTTTAAAAAATATTTGCCGGCCTTTAGTTTATGATTAAGAATAGTGCAAGTCAACTTGTATGATGAGATGTGTTATTGTGATCCACGTTCCCTGGATGCATACTCCATAAACTAAATGATAAATCAAAAGGTGTTTTTCACAAGTATCAGAAATTAAATGCAAGCTGTACCTTTTCTTTTTAATAAAGATTCTATTTGCAAATCAAAGAAATATTTAATTATTTAATCTATTATTTTGATATCACCAATCAAGTCTTACACGATTTCTAAGCGGGTGTATTCCTTTGAATCAACAGAAGATGCCTTCTATTCCAAGAAATGTGTGTGTGTGTGTGTGTGTGTGAACCTCTATTCTTAGATTTAAAATATAAGAAAATGGCTGGCATTGTTATTGACCAAATAAAAAGTGGAAGAAACAAGGATTTCACCAATGATGTTTGGAAGATAACAAAGTTGGCCTTGTTTACAAATTCACTGGAAATTTCTGCATGCTATGTGTGCTTTATTAAAGTAATTTCATGGGATTGACTGATATTAAAATCCAAATATGCTATTTTATATAATATAAAAATATCAATTCACTCACGAGATAATTCAGTTATCAAAAAGGTGTATGCTGGAAAATGCAAACAAAAAATTATTAAAACTTCAATTTGTTTCATTTCATGCCGAATAAGATTTTTTAAGAAAAAAAAGATATTTTTTATATTAAATCATAAACTTAGGATACTAAATAGATAAAGCCAGAATTTTTTAGTGGAATGATTAAGATCTATTTGAAAAAAAAAAAAAAAGAAAGAAAAACCTCATGTTACAACCTGTAAATTGACCTAAATGGGGTAAAACAATTATATGGGGTTTTAGTTTTATATCAAAGAAATATTTTTTTAGAGACAAAAATAATGATTGGCTACCTTACATGTTAATCCCTCTCTTCTCTCTTTTCAATTCTATGAACATACAACCACCAGAGAAACATACAGAGAGATCATTCCATACCTGACATTAAAGTTCAATCAGATTTCTCTCTTCTTTTCCGTAGTCACTTTTTTCAATCTTTTTCTTGCCTTAGGCTTCTCACCAGCTGAAGCAGCCATGGCCATATTAGAAATAGCATTTGGATCATTTCTTTCAGCTTTCCTTCAAGTTCTCTTCCAAAAAATGTTGTCTCCCCAGTTCCTCTACTTCTTCAAGCACCAAG